TGAGATTAAAAACACAGCTTATACTATATTATGTTTCATAATTTATGAACATATTTACCATGTGTTATATGTGCATTTCTCAATCTCAAGAGCTACAGTAAAAATTTTTAAGGAACATATATACTGTCCACATGGTACATGAAAGCCTGATATTTATACAAAGTAATGTGATTTTTTTCCCCAAGAAACCCCTGTCAAATCTCAAGACCTGAATGTGAATAGTTTACTAATGTACTACTGAAGGTCAAATCTATGGCACAATTATTGTAAACATATGGTTTGTGTATGTTTTTCTAAGTTGGTTTTTACCTTCTAATTTGAAATTACACAAAAACCTCTATTTCTATTTTTGCCAAATTTATTTTCAGGTTTTTTGGTTTCTTCCCATTTAATTTTACCATACCTCTAGTTTTAATGCCAACAAAATTAGTTGTGATCAAATATTTAAGTGAAAACAATGTCTCTTTTTAAAAAATAATCTATTCTAAAATGTTTAAGATTTGAAGACTTGAAGTCTTCAAAATATAACATAGACCACAATATTGCAAGATTCAGTCAATTAATAATCACTGACCAAGAAAGAAACTTGCTTTTCTGTTAGTTTTGGAAGGAAATGCCAGATCAAGGAAATGATACAGGGGAGCAAGGGGCACTAAAACTGGCCAAAGTCACTACCTAAAGAATTTACTAGCAGGTCACTGTCTGAGTTCTTCACCAGCACGCACACAATTGCAAGACTACTCAGGTTCAGAGAACAAAAAATGTTAAATAATGGAATTTACTTAACAAGCCAGGGAACACAAAGAGTTACTTGGGCCACAAATGGCCGTTTACCTCACCGTTAAGCACTGTCCAGTGTTTCAAAGTCCTAAACACAAACACTGCCAAGATAGCGTCTTCCCACCACTGAGAACGCAGAGCTGCTCTGGAACAAAAGGCCAAGGTCCCAAAATGGCCTCTTACTGTGGGACCAGACTCTAGGCCAGATCCAACTCATGAAGACAGCAGAAGACACAAATGAAGATGCTCACCCAGAACTGCCAAGATATCCCAGCACAGCACCAGACAGGCGGCACTAAAAAACATGAACTGCAGCAGCTAAATAACCCCACAAACAAACGGCACACTCACACAGATCGGCTCATGGAGGCGCCCGGCTCCAGCTGGAGCTCTTCTCCTTCCCTCCAGGCTGTAACAGCGGCAAAACTGGAAACAGTTTCAACCGCTCGGCTACTTGCAACGCCTTGGAACTTTTCTTCTCTGAGGTTGGCTGCTGGAAGTGTCCTTATGTACTTCAGTGGCCCATATCAGCCTTCTGGAAATTCGGCATGATGGAAGCAGAAATGGCTGAAAGCTCAGAAAATGGTGATAAACTGAATGTTAAATCCTGTGGGCTGCTTCTACCATCCTTTACATTTTTTTTTTTTAAGAGTGAGCCAAGGGATCTTCTGATCCTTTCTGCCTCTTCTGCCTGGCACATGGCTGATTATGTGAAGGACAGTGTTCAGTTTTGTCACTTAGCACTGATCCCCCAAAGACTTTCAACATGCCTTTCTGTTTATCCTATTGGAACTCTTTACCTATTTGCAGGATAATTCTGTTTACATTTTGACTCGTCACAGAGGCACAAAGGCATTTCTAAAATTGGCCTGTCATGAAGTCAAACTAATAATTTTTATTCCTTTTACAAATGTATTGCTATTAGACAGTGGGTCTTTTAACTTCTGAAATATGGCTGTTGATTTTTCTGGATCCACACCATTTAACTGGCTTCCAGGAAAAGACATGATTCTATGTGGTCAGTCATTATGGGAGTGTTTACTGAGAAGTTACCTTCTGGTTGCTGGAGCCTGTTCCAGGCACAAGCAGCTCCTAGCAGCAGCCCACACTGCCCTGTGACCTCCAGCTTTACTTTCTTCCTCTCTTCCTGCAAAGCCACTTTCTCCTTTCCCTATGACCTTCCTCTCCATTCCACAGCTGGCACCCCTCATCCTAGGCAACAGTGTTGTGCCCCCAAGATCTTTCTCCCTGGAATACTTTGGGGCCCTCCCATGGTGATCTGGGATACCCTGCCTTTACCCTGGATGCCAGCCTGTGGGCAGGAGAACCATCCCACAAGCAGCTTTAAAAAAGATGTGGGGCAGGTGCTCAGTCACTTCCACAGGTACCAGCAGTACCACCAACCCTGGAGGACTGACTGGCTGGGCCCATCCACAGGCCAGAGCAAAGTGCAGGATATTTTATTCAGTCCAGCAACCTGAACTGAGCTGAGGGAGTGAGGCCTGCCGGGGCCCCTACAGAAGAGAGGTACTAAATCAATGAGATGGGGAAATTATAGAAATTTGCCATTCCCAATAACCATTTTGTTCATGTTATATACTTGAAAAGCCAAAGATAGAAAAGCAAATACTGAACTTAAA